TGTTAAGTTAGTTGAAGACACTTCACTTTAATACACAGCACTGAGATGGTTTTGTTAAAAAACAAGAATAAGTTTATTAACAAAGAACAGAGGTTTAAGTGGTACTAAGCAAGAGAAAAAGAAATAAATGTGATTACAAACAAAACAAGTCATGCTTTCTACTGACTAAAATTTAATTTTAGCCAGTTACAATCTTTGCCTTTGCAGTTTTCTTACTCACATCAGGTTACCAGCATCTTTAGCCCTCCAGACTGGGGGAATCTTATTTTCACAGGCTCAAAGTGTGCTGTCCATGAACTGATGGATTACTAAAATCTTTTTTGCTTTTGTCTGTCAGTTAGCTTGATTGCTTGGTTTACCTTTCATTGTCCTCTGCCTGTAATCAAGCCAGTTGGACAGGTTAATCCACATTCCTTTGTCTGCCGAAGGTTGGGTTTGTGTACTGCCTCCCAGACATATTTTAAGAACATATTTCCAGTACACATGTATGTATGGGTTTTGCACAAGTTATATATCACAGTGATTTTCTGGATTAATGTGTCACCAGTTTACATAGGATACCTTACATGACATCTTTTAGATACATATTATGACAACAGTGTTTTGGGGGTAGTGAGTGTCGGGCCTAATATGAGTTACAATCTGGTGGGCCCACTGCCAGTTGGCATTGATGGCTTCGCAGGGACACAGAAGGTGACTGCCAGTGCAGTTCGTAAACCTCCTAGAGCTGCTTGTCTCCTGGTGGCTAGAGAAGTCTGCAGTTTGCACACTTAGACTTGCCAGAAGGGTAAATTGTGCAGCCATTTGCTCAGCTGCATTATTCATTCTTCTCCATTGAGAAGATTCAAATAGTGCTCTAAGTGTATAAAGTGGTAGTTCGGAGGATTCTTATGTGGATATGCTAGGTGGGAAAGGAGAATAAAGGAAAAAGCTAATAAGAAATCTGGATTGCATGCTGTTGCAAACGTTGAAGTACTGGTAATTTGGTCCAGATTTATTTCATGCAGGGTAGGAGGTATAAAAAGTGGCCCATAAATCAAACTCTTTTCTAACTTTTGACTCCTATTATTCTGCTCTGATCTGAACATGGCTGCTTATGCTGGGTCACTGGTTTTTGCCCAAGCTGCCCTCTGTATACCGCTACTTATTGTCAACCCTAAATATCCAAAAATCATGAGTCAAGTCCTTAAAAATCACTAAATTGTCTTAAATCATGAGGCTTTATATTGGGAGTGGTGGAGAAGGTCTTTATTTACCTTCTGGTTTTCAAGCCTTTAGGGTACTTTGTTCATGTTTTCAGGCTATTCTCTGAAGGGAGGGCTAAGAACTTTTTTGATTTAAAAATTAGTACTGAAATTCTCATGTAATCAGTTGCTCCAAGGAGATTAGGCTTTAAAAAAAACACCAAATATTGTGAGACTTGAAATAAAATTGCAAGAGTTGGCAACACTGTGCCTGATAGGCTTGAAGAAACTGCCCTCTCCCACACCTTTCTTGTGGCAGACTGAAAATGGCTTTCCAAAAGAAGCTGTCTGGTATCTTTAATGTGGTAATAGCACTTGCCATACCAGCACTTCATTTCTGAGCTGCAATGGAAAGGATTTAACATGTTTATGTGCACTTGTGGTTATTTGCATGAATTAATGTACCTGAACATGTGATTCAAATATATATCTTCAGCTATTTGAATGAATGTGCAGAAAATGCTTCTCATATGATTTTGTTCAGGAATATAATCTCTACATATTCTTTCATTTTTTATCTAATTCCTTTTTGCCTACGTAAGGATAAACAGTTGTATCTAATAAGGTAAGCAACATATTCTGTTATTTGCAAGGGCGGATCTTAATTGTTGAAAACAGGAGAAGAGAACTTTGATACTTCATCACTGCATTGAATCTGTAAGCAAATGTAAAACATTAAGTACCTGTATTCATCTGTTTTATTTTTAAATTGCATATTTTGACATTTTAATTAAATTAAAAAGACTTGGTATCTTTTGTGTTTATCAAATTCCCAGTGTCTTTGAAAAGTCTGAGTGGTGTATGCACCACTGTTCATTTTTAGTGGGAAGATCTATTTTATGCTCCACATTCAGGTTGTAATCCAGCAAAGTACTTAAACTTGTGATTAACATTGGGTATGACCCAATTGATTTAATTGGCATTTCTTATGTGCTCAGTACTTTGCTGGATTCAGAACCTTAGAGGCCCAATCCAACTCCTGTTAAAATCAATTGGAGTCTCTCCATTGAGTTAGTAGGAATTGGATCAAGCACTTAGGCCCCAGTCCTACAAACACTTATGCATGTGTTTTACATTATTACCATGAGTAGTACTATTAGACCTTCATTTCAATGGGATTGTTCATGGTGATACTTATATTTTGCATAAATATTTGTCAGAATATATACCTACTAAAGGCTTGTCTACTTGGCGGGTTAGCACATGGCATGCCACAGTATGATTCTACAGTGCACTAGCTAGATGAGTGGACCCTGCTATTGTGCACTGAAAGTTCTGTAGTACTCTTAATAATACGTCAAAGCATCCTGCAATGTCCAAATGTCCAGGTAGTGTGTAGCAAGCTAGTGCACTTTAGATTCATACTATAGCTTACCATGTACTACTATCTTTGTAGACAAACCCTAAGATATCAAAATTGCCTTAAGTTCCCCTCTTCACATAAATTGACTTAATGACAAATAGTGGCTCTGCGGTGGTCTAGATGTTTACCATGGAAAAAAACTTCAGTTAAAAAAAGACATAATTTTTAAAATTTATATATTTTTTCAGGTCTGAGGTGAAATACCACTTTTATGTGTCTTCTCTGACTTAAGTGATGGAAATGTCTTAACTTTTTTCAGTAGTGTCTGCTTTGCTGAAACTCTTTCTAGGTGGTCATACCAGGTTAAATCAAATTATCTTGTTCATTCACACTGTCAGTTTTACACAATAAAGTCACTTTGCAGACAAGACCTGTTACTTTAAACAGTCCAGAACTGTTTAACTGAATAGATAAGTGGACCTGATGGTGGGTAAAATTTTCAAAAGTGCCGAGGAGCTTAAATTTCATTGAAAGTCATTGGGACTTAGGCACATAAAGTACTTCTGAATGTTTATCTTTTTTAAATGGTCTGCTTTTTAACTGCAGTAGTATATAGGTAAATCCACCTCATGTTAAATCATTTGAAATCCTAGCTGTGATCAAATGATAGATTAACACTACAAATGTGGTTTAAATCTGTGTTATGCTTACCAAAAAATAAAGTCACTGAAGAAAACTATCTCAATAACAGTTTTAATGGTTTGAGCACTTTCTACAATTGTTTCTTTTTTTTTTTTTTTTTTTGCCAAAGAGACTTAATTATTGTTAGAATTTGGTTTAGCTTTTTGCCTAAAAAAAGAAGTCAAGCATTCACACTAACCTGACTATGCAAAAATTAACAGGTAGGTTTTAAAAGAGATTCTTAAAGAAAATAAGTTCAATCAATAGTGGCATGAAGAGATAATATTCTGACTTCCCCATCCTTGAATCTAAACCTGTGTAAAGTAAACATGCTGTATTTTAAGGTAATAAAGATTCAAAAAGATGTGCAATTAAATTTACAGATTTACAATCTGCTGAACATTGTTCTTGAAGAATCTAGGCAGGAAATGGGTCATCCATGTAATACAGAATGTGAAATCGGTCAAGTCAAATCACTAAGTATCATAATGTCTGTTTGAAAGTATGTACAAAACTGAAAGTGAGGACATAAAATGAGAGGCAAAGTTTGAAGGTATGATTTAGCATATGCTAAATCAACTCCTTTATAGGCAACTTAGGTAAATTGGAGCTAGGACTGAGTTTGTAGACTATTTGACCATGGTGCAGTTGAGTATAAATTTAAACTCACTGACTGTGCTCAAGGCAAATTATCCTATGTTGTGCTTCTTGGTTGCCAAACTTGAAGCACTAATGGAAATGGAGATTACTGCTTGCGATGTGGCACTCCCTGATTAGTCAATGTATAGAACTCTCAGGTGCGTTTTTAGACCCTCCAGCTATAATGAACAAAATCAAGAAGAGCTGGACTTGCTATTCCGCAACATGTGGTGCTTTGAAGTCATTCTTCCCATCACTAGAGTGAATTTGAGGTTCATCCCTAACTGGTCTCTTGATACATTTTATTTGCAAAGTCTGTAACCAAGACCACCTAAACTACTTATTGCATACAGTAGTGTGTTTAAAAACAATTCCCTTGTTTTAAAGGGATGGTTATAGGAAGGTATGCAGAAAATACCTGAAGTTATGCAGGTTAATAATTTCATTTGTTTTAATTTTGGGAGTGGTTTCTCAGCAAACGAACTGGACTGTGTCAAATTTTGTTATACTACTTCAATTACTTAAATATCTTAATTTTCAGTTTGGCACACATTCCATTTTGCTGTTCTGTTTCTGTAGCAGCAAAATGTGACTGCCTTGTTTGTTTGATAACAAAAATGGTAGCTTTGTTAAAGGGATGTACAAAGCTGTATGTTTTAGAATGTCCACTAGAAAACTTGTATAAGATCATTCATTCTTTCTCTTCCATATAGTATAAAGGAGGAAATTAGTTGACAGCTGCTAAACACATGTTGCTCACTAGAGTGAACTTGTGCAGAAAATGGTCTCAATAGTTTGGCATGACATGATTTAGTTGTAACAGTTTGGTGATGGGTAGATCTGTTTATCTGTGTGGGCAACATTTATTTTTGAATGTCATGGTATGCATATAATTTTAAAGTGGAGTAAAATAACCTGTCTAATCAAATTGCTAATGACATCTTTAAATTGGAACAAATTAAACATGTGAGATTTCTTAGGCAAGCAAGGTAAAAAGTAAGTACTTGTTGCAGGTTGAGAAATCAAGATGAAGATACTTATTATTAAAGCTCATTAAATGCAAAAGAAGTATTTGAGTTTTAGGTGCTGTCCAAAATATACTGTTCTAATCTTCGACTTTCTTTTCCTCCAAGGTCCTTGATGCCTCAACGCTTAGTTTCGGTACTCGAGTGAAATGGTTTGCCATATGTTTTGCAACTGGCATTTTCTGTTCCGTTCTTGTAAGTGAATTTTTTTTCTACCTTTTATGAAGTTGCTATGGTAGAATCTTGCTAATCTTCATTCTCTGGGCCTGATCTTGTGGGGTGCTGAGCATCCTCTTCCTATTGTTTCAATTGGAATAAAGGGGATTCAATTCCTTGCTGGATCTGATACTTTATAATCCACACTATTGGTAGTCTTCCCCTATTTACAGTAAATGGTCTAGTGACATCTCTTATTAAAAGGATTAAATATTGACAAAATTTCCTAGTACATGATGTAGTATTTTAAATTAAAACGAACTTAGAGTAACCAAAATAGTTGAGCAAAACTTTTTTTTTGTCCACTTGCTAATTCACAAAGTTCAGTAACTTGCAATTGATCTCCCAGTTGTTGGTGTAATTAATGAAATTTTGCTAGATAATGTGTATTGTTGAAATGACTGAAAATAGTTTATACCACTAAATTTGAATTAAGCTATATTCCATGACCTAGGGAGGACAGGTGGTGGTGGGAGGAGGTAGTGGGAGGGGATGCTTTGAGAGACAGGCAAACTGGGGCAATAACTTTTGAAGCAAAAACCTGTGATATACCTCACAATTTTTTGTTCATCAAACATAACATTTTCAGAAGAAACAACGAGGAGTCCTTGTGGCACCTTAGAGACTAATAAATTTATCTGTGCACAAGCTTTTGTGGGCTCAAACCCACTTCATCAGATGCATGGAGTGAAAAATACAGTAAGGGGTGTGTGTATACACACAGCACATGAAAAGATGGAAGTTGCCTTACCAAGTCGGGGGTCAGTGTTAACGAGACCAATTCAGTTAAGGTGGAAGTGGCCTATTCTCAACAGTTGACAAGAAGGGGTGAATATCAGAGGGAAAATTACTTTTGTAGTGCTAACGAGGCCAATGCAATCAAGCTGGACATTGCCCATTCCCAACAGTTGACAAGTGTGAGTATCAGCAGAGGGAAAATTACTTTTTGTAGTGACTCATCCACTCCCAGTCTTTATTCAGGCCTAATTTGAAGGTGTCCAGTTTGCAAAATTAATTCCAGTTCTGCAGTTTCTCGTTGGAAGTCTGTTTTTGAAATTTTTTTTGTTGAAGAATTGCCACTTTTAATTGCCACATTCCACACAAAGATGGACTACAAGCCGTCAGGAACAGTATCCCCGATAATGTCATGGCAAACCTGGTGGCTGGACTTTGTCCTCACCCACAACTGTTTCAGATTTGGGGACAATGTACCTTTGAGGGGTGCAGGAGGGGGCTCAGGACAGGGGTTGGGGTGCAGGAGGGATTCAGAGGGCAGGTTCCAGGGTGGCAGCGGTGCGCAGCAGGGCTAAAGCCAGCTCCCTGCTTGCCCTGGCCCCGTGCTGCTCCTGGAAGCAGCCGGCATCACGTCCTCGGGGGAGGGCAGAGGGCTCTGCGCGGTGCTCTTGCCTGCAGGTACCTCCCTGATGCTCCCATTGGCCGCAGTTCCCTGTTCCCGGCCAATGAGAGCTTCAGGGGACAGTGCCTGCAGGCGAGGGCAGCGCACGGAGCCCTCTGCCGTCCACATCCCCGGGGGCGACAGGGACATGGTGCTGGCCGTTTCTGGGAGCACCATGGGGCCCCAGGGGTGGCAGTCCTGCAAACCGGATCCAAAGCCTGACTGGCCTCATCTGGCCCACGGGCCGTAGTTTGCCCACCCCTGCTCTAAGGTGTCACAAGGACTGCTCGTGTTGTTTTTTTTTTTTGCTGATACAGACTAACACGGCTAACGCTCTGAAACCATTTTCAGAAGAGATGGCTAGTTCTGCTTGCCCAACTTAAGACACCTTTGTCTTGACTTCCAGTGGTGCAGAGCATCTGACTCCTGTTGACTTCACCTAGCATTGTTGCTCAGCATTTCTGAATTTAAGCCAAAGATGTCTCAAGTTGGGCACCCAAAATCAGTGGTCATTTTTGAAAAATCGGCTGCACAGTTCCAAACTGTATACCAAACAACCACATTTAGAACAGTAATTTTTGGGAGTATTTAAACCTTTGTTTAAACCATCCATTTAATGTGTAAATCTCTCCACCCATTATGTGTAGAGTAGTAAAGTTCTTGTGAGTGTTGGTGCATAGTTGTGACATCACCCAAAAAGCACAACTGATCAGTTGAAATGTAGGTTGGAAGAACTGTTTGCAAAGCAGTGTGGTTTAAGTTACTACTTTTTGATGGAGTATAGATCCAATATTGATATAACATGACTTCCAACCACAAAGGATAGAAACACTTTTCAGGCAAAGGACTTATTAAATTTCTTCTCTACAATGAAAATCAAGTAAAAAGTCTTATTCTCTCTATCAGAGTCTTAATAAAGTATGAAACACAAAGATAACTTAGCAGAAGTGACCTTTCATATTAAGAAATGAAGCAGGCATAGTTTATTCCCCTCTACAGTATGTGACAATGGGAATAAAACCTTCCTTGTCAGATGCTTTAGACTTGCCATGTGATCTCTATCTCCCAAGAGTGAATGCCTATAGTGTGGGCTCTATTTTATTGGCCATAACATAAAATGGTAACTTATTTATTTAATTTGACCCTTTTTCACATTAAAGGCACATTCAAGCACATGGCAGAGCAGCTTTCACTGTCACTTTAGAATACATATTTTCTTTGGTGTTAAGTAGAGACATGGAGACACCTCTCTGTCCTGGGAAAATGCAAGTGATGCTGGTTTGATGACTTACGCGATTTCTATATGATTTTGAATGATGCGGCACAACCTGTGGTCTTTAGGAAGTAGAAATAGCTGAAAGCTGAAATATGTCAAACTTCTATCCAGGAAATAACACTTAGAACAGTTAGCTGAACATAGCCACTAATTCTACATATGTCTGTGACTGAGCTGTTTGGTGCGGGAGGGGTAGTGGAGGGGCATCTCCTATTTCAATTCAGACCCTGTGGGGAGGGCATCTTGTAGAGTACTTGAAGCAGATGTGATACAAGACAAAGGGCTTGTCTACACTTACATTTTATAGCGCTGTAACTTCTTAGCTCAGGGGGGTGAAAAATCACCCCCCTGAGCACAGCAAGTCAGAGCGCTTTAAAGCGCTAGTGTAGACAGGCTGCAAGCGCTGGGAGCCAATCCCCTTGTAGAGATGGATTACCAGGAGTGCTGGGAGAGCGCTCTCCCAGGGTTTTCCTGCGACCCCACTCGGACTTCAAAGCACTGCCGCGGGAGCATTTCCATGACAGCGCTTGGAAGTTTCCGGTGTAGCCATGCCCTAAGTAGTAGTGAAGTCATTAACATTTTTTTAAAATGTTACTTGCTAGTAATAATAGTTCCTGCCCTGTCTTTCATGGAAGGCAAGCAAGAAGGGGACACTGAGAGAACTGATAGAGGAATGCAAAGGGAACCAAATATTCAGAGAGGTGGCAATATGCTACTGTAGTGATCAGTACTGCTGTCAGTGTACAAAATCATTCAATCTGAGAATTATCTGGGACGCTGATGCTAGGCTCAAATTCACTTGGATTACTGCTAAAAAGTAGGGCTGTCGAGCGATTTAAAATTAATAGTGATCGCGTGATTAAATTGCAATCAGTTGCATAATTTTTTTAATCACATTGTTAAACAATATTAGAATACCATTTATTTAAATATTTGGGGGGTTTTCTATATTTTCGAATGTAGGGTCATGGCTGGGGGCTCTGGGATTCATCCCTCTTGGGGCTTCAGCCCCCTTGGGGCACAGGGCTTCAGGTTGGCATGGGCTGCTTCAGCCCCAGCTGCCTGGGAAGCCATGGGTTAGTGTTTCAGCCCCCCACTATTGATGTCTCCTGCCCCACCCTCAGGTATGCGAACAACACATTAATTTTTTAATACATGTTAATTTTGCTTTCAGTTAGTCGCAGTGTTTGCTGTGATTGATAGCCCTAATAAAAATTTTGAGTCCATTGGTTGGTTTTGCCTCTCCAGGTGTGAAGCTGGTTGTACAAAGCAATTTGATGTGCTTTGAAGAGTCATGTACGTTCCCCACAATTCCATTGTCCCCTTTCCTCTGTTCTGTATTTCCGTCCCCGACTGCTATTAGCAGATTCCTCCAAGAGCTGGAGATTGGACGCTAGATGAGCTGGGCTCTGAGTTACTACAGAGAATTCTTTCCTAGGTGTCTGGCTGGTGGATCTGCTTGATTGCCATATTTAGGGTAAGGAGGGAATTTTTTCCCATGTCAGATTGGCAGACCCTGCAAGTTTTTCACCTTTCTCTGCAGTGTAGGGCACAGGTCACTTGCTGGTTTGAGTTAGAGTAAATGGTGGATACTCTGTAACGTAGTCTTTAACTCAAGGTTTGAGAACTTCAGTAAGTCAGCCAGAGGTTATGGGCCTACTGCAGAAGTGGGTGGGTGAGGTTCTGTGGCCTGCAATGTGCTGGAGGTCAGATGAGATTATCGTGATGGTGCCTTCTGGCCTTAAAGTTTGTGAGGCTGTTTGGGAACATCGTGAATGAAGTAGGTGGACTGCAGTGTCTCTATATATGAATGATGCCTAGCTTTACATTGCTCTTTTTGCAGGTCTGGTTGGTGCAGACAAATGACTTATCCAGGATCTAACCTTTATTAGGGCTTGGCTAAGAGCTAGCTGGCTGAGGTTTAACCCAGATAAGAGTGAGATGAGCCTGGAGAAAGTCTCAGCTGCTGGGATAACTGGTAGTCTGCTCCATTAAGAGAATGCCTTCTGCTTTGTCATATTCACATCCTGGTAGTCTTAAAGTATTCCTGGCCACTTCTGGATGATCAAGTAGCAGAGGCCCTGTGTTGCTTTTTTTATCTGGGCGTGGCACAGTTTTATCTGGACCTAGCCACAGTCATCCACTCCTTTGTCATTTAGAGAGCTGCACTTGGGTCTTCACTCAAACCGTATTTGATGCAAAATGTCGCTGCTTGCTTAAATGGTACTTTTTACATGGAACACTATGCTTGTGCTCTAGTCTACATTGTCCTACTTTTGGTTTGATTTAAGGTATTGGTTTTCTCTGAAAAAAATGCTAAGTGGGTTGGCGTCTCGTTACCTTTAGAATCTGCCTCTCTTCCATGTTAGTTATGGCAGTTCTGATCTGCAGAGAGGTTTGAATTATCAACCCCCTGGTTTAAACAACAAGGCTGATAGCAAGGTGCTTGATTCAGACGTCTCCTCCCCTGTCCATGCACATGCTTGGTCTGCCAGCTGAAGTTTGACAACTCAGACTTTTTTTTGTTATGATTGGAGTGTGAGTGGGAGAAGTGATGGACTTCCTTTGTAGTGGTTTGGAGGGACTGTGGATATTAGTTCGCTATAACTTCATGGATGTCTTCCTTTCATATAATGTACAGGAGCTTCTAACTTGGAATTATGGGTTTTAAAGAAACTGAAAGTCTGTCTGTATAATAACCTAAAAAGTAAACATCTATACAATTACTACTAAAAGTACCTGTGAAACAGGCCTCTTATACAAATGTTGACTATAGTAATATTGATAGGATTTATTTTCACACCTCTGCAATAACATTAGGGAGACTCTGTTAAATACATTAAATCATTGCATCTCACTTGCCAGTAGAGGGAGGTATTAATCTGCTGGATGGTTAGTGCAGTCTCTGAATACAGTGTAGGACTAGTGTAGGTCATGGTGACTTTCTTGTGATTTAAATTTTATGGTTTACATTTATTTTCAGACACTAAACTGTATGGACTATCAATTGAAAGTATGAAAATATCTTTTTCTTGTGCAGGGGACAGCATTTCTATGGCTTCCCTCGGGGCTGAAACTTTTTGCAGTGTTCTACACCATAGGAAATATTGCTGCATTAGCCAGGTATGCATTATTTTCCTAATAAGTTCTACCATTTTGGAATCTGAATTTCTACCTGCAAACTTGTGTGTAACATTAATATTAAAATGTGAAGAACAATGCTGTTTATAATTTCAGGTCATATGTATCTTGCACTTTACATTTTCATGTTACTAATACACTAATTACAATGGCAGTTACTTATTTCCCTCATTCTTCTACACAACTATATTGTGGTTTTTATGATCACTTCATAAATACATCTTGATTTCTACTTACTTTGGCTGGCAGGTTGTAGACTATAGGTTTTAGACTTCTGTATGCTTCTGTATGCCATCTCCTCACACCCAATTTCAGTAATTAATCACTAATGTAGGCGTCTCAATATGGGCATCTTATGATAGGAAACATCTTGCTTTCAACCAGAGCTCCTTTAATCTTATTTTTTAACGGAAAACGAGTCTGGGAGACCCTAAAAATGAGTCCATGAAAAATCTTGGCTTAGTATGGTATGGTCTTTTAAAAATTGTTTAACTTTAAAATTTAAAACTCTGCTGTATTTTATCTGTTTCCACTACTCCTTCCGGCAGGCAGATGCCTTGCCATGCTGCTGATACTCTGGCTTTTGAGGCTGTGCTCTCAGGAAAAAAAACAGCAAACTTAACTTTCTGTTGCTGCTGCTAAACTACAAAAGAGGCCTTGTAAAGTTGTGCTGAATTCATTCTCCTATATCGGGGTGGGCATACTTTTTGGCCTGAAGGCCACATCTGGGTATGGAAATTGCATGCAGGGTCATGAATTTTGGGCTGGGGCAGGAGGTTGGGATGCAGGAGGGAGGGAATGCAGGGTGTGGAAGGGGATGCAGTGTGCAGGAAGGGGTTCAGGGCAAGGGGTTGGGGTGCAGGAGGGGTGCAGCGGGGGGCTGGGGTGTGGCAGGGGACTCAGGACAGGGGGTTGGGGTGCGGGGTATTGCAAGGGGCTCAGGGAAGGGGTTTGGGGTGCAGGAGGGGTTCAGGGTGTGGGCTCCGGCCCAGCGCTGCTTACCTGGAGCAGCTACTGGGGTGGCAGCAGTGTGCAGCAGGGCTAGGACAGGCTCCCTGCGTGCTCTGGCCCCACGCCACTCTCGGAAGCAGACGGCACCACGTCCCTGTGGTCCCTGGGGAGAGGGCTCTGCGCACTGCCCTCGCCTGTGGGTACCTCCCCCGAAGCTCCCATTGGCCATGGTTCCCCGTTCCTGGCCAATGGGAGCTGCGGGGGGCAGTGCCTGCAGGCGATGGCAGCGCACGGAGCCCTGTGACCCCCTCCCCTCCCCCCCCGGCCCCCCAAGGGCTGCAGGGACGTGGTGCCAGCCACTTCCAACAGTGGCGTGGGGCCATGGGAGTGGCAATCCCGTGGGCTGGATCCAAAGCCCTGAGGGGCCAGTTGCAGCCTGTGGGCCGTAGTTTGTCCACCCCAATCTAATTTGTCCTTCATATCAAACAGGTGGGTATAACGGACACAGGAACCTCAAAATAGTAGTTTGCCCGCCCCTGTTCTATATGTTTCACCAGGGTGAAGTGCCAAACTCTATGAACATGAATTGTGAGTCCATAAAGTTCTTTCTCAGTCCTGGTCCTCCCTCCCCACTTTCACCTGAGTGTTTGTGTAAAGGATTAGCTTAGGGCTTTTGAACTTTTTTGCTTTTACAAACCCTGTGCATAGCGCCAAAAAACCCTGTCAACATTTTCTTATATTTTGATCTACGTAAAATCTTGGGTCCTGTTTGGAGCTCTTTCCCAGAAAGGATCATAGTTGGGGCTGCTTGTTGAGAACACTGCCCCTTTGCCTCCTGTGTCAATTGTCTGAACTTCAGTGTCATCAGCAGCGTCATCCCTTAAAGTGTAGCTGCCTTGAAAGGTTATGCCATTTGAAGTAGTAGCCAGGTTGCAAGCCTGTGGGTTTTGCAGAGTAGGATTTTGAATTTGCACCTAAAGCAAATGGGGAGCCAGAATTTGTGAAGCATGATGTTGCGTTTGCCTTTGACTTCTAGGCTCACTACTGTGTGCTGCCACCATCTTCATCCCTCTTGTGTCAGTTGTCCTCTTCGGGTAGAGCTGTAGTAGTTTAACCTGAAAGAGGCAAAAGCATGTTGCAGTGCTATCTGATAGGAAAGGGTCCAAATGGTTGTGGAAGGTGAAAGAATGCATTACTCCCTATTCTGGCAATCTGTGTCCAGACATAGGGATGAGTACATGACTCTGAAGCATGTTATCCCCTTCGTGCAATCTAATGCCTTTATCTGAGGTTGATGACAGTGTTGGAAAATGTTACTGTTTTTCCACTCCCTTCTCCTTCTGCTAAGATCACTTCAGTCTTTTCTGAGTTGAGCTTCGACTGACTTCTTCCAAGCATTAAGATATGCTGGTAACGGCAGAGGCTGCATTGATGACAAAGGAGGTGTATATTTGTTTCATCTGCATATTGGTGACGCACAAGTCTGCAGCATCTTACAGCCTCTCTGTGGCCTTTTATAGAGGGGTGTGAGGAAGAACTAAGTCTTGTGGGACACCATATGGTAGGGGTCAGGGTGATTAAGAGTAAGTGTCCTCTCTTCATACCTTTTTTAGATCAGAGGTGGGCAAACTACAGCCCACGGGCCACATCCAGCCCGCGGGACCGTCCTGCCCGGCCCCTGAGCTCCTGGCCGGGAAGGCTAGCTTCCTGTCTCTCCCCCGCTGTCCCTCCTCCCCCGCAGCCATGCTGCTGTGTAGGCAGTGCTCTGGGCGGCAGGGCTGCATGCTCCTGCAGGGCAGAATGGCAGCGTGTGTAGCTCTGGCCAGGTGGTGCGGCTCCCAGATACGCTGTTCTGAGCAGCATGGTAAGGAGGTCAGGGGGCTGGATAAGGGGCGGGGGTCCCGGGGGGCTGTCACGGGACAGGGAGCAGGGCGTGGTTGAATAGGGCGGAGGTTCTGGGGGAGTGGAGGGGTGCTAAATGGGGGTGAGCTCCTGGGGGGCCAGTTAGGCACAGGGGTCCCGGGAAGGGGTGGTCAGGGGACAAGGAGTGGAGGGGGTTGGATGGGTCAGAGGTTCTGAGGGGGGCAGTCAGGGGGCAGGAAGTGGGAGGGAGCAGATGGGGGGCGGGGGCCAGGCTGTTTGGGGAGGCACAGCCTTCCCTACCCGGCCCTCCATACAGTTTTGTACCCCGATATGGCCCTCAGGCCAAAAAGTTTGCCCACCCCGGTTTAGGCTAATACCTAATGTGTTACCTATATTTCCCAGGACTCTTACATAGGCAGAAGGGGTTGTCATGTCCTTCCTTATCTCCTGCTCCAGGAGGCAGTGATTGACAGCACGCAAAAGGCAGGGGTTGTGTGAAGGACACTGGATCTGAGTGGGAACCCTTGTGTTCTGAATGTGCCTACTCCTTCAGACCTCCCCTGAAGAGCAGTTAAAGTTAATAATCCTGTGCTGAGTACACTGCACTACGCCTACTTGGGATGCCCCTACCCCCAGCAGCAGGAGTTTGGGTGTGGGGGGACTCAGGGCTTGGGTCCGCTGCTTACCGGCGTTGGGGCTCCTCTCCCTCAGCTCCCCTAGCTCCACATGCTGCCTCTGCTGGCGGCCAGGCACTGCCCCTGAAGCTCCCATTGGCCATGGTTCCCAGCCAATGGGAGCTGCAGAACCGGGGCTTAGGGAGGAGCAGAGGCAGCGTGTGGAGCAGCTGGAACTAGGGCCGCAGCTTCCCAGGAGCTGCCCAAGCCCCACCAACCCTGCCCCAGCACCCGTGGCCCCCCTGGCCACATACCCCTTCCCAGCACCTGCAGTGCCCCTTGAGCATCTTCCTCTCTCCCCTCCTCCCCCCTAGTTTTAGTCACGGGTCTTTTTAGTAAAAAAAAAAAAAAAGTCATGGACAGGTCACGGACCTATGAATTTTTGTTTACTGTCCGTGACCTGTCCATGACTTTTTTTTTACTAAAAAGACTCGTGACTAAAACTTAGCATTAATTATGACTTCTTGTCCTCAGCAACAGATCAAGGCATCTGTCTGCAACAGAACTAATGGCAATGATATGTACACATGAGGTGTAGGGAGGTCAATATAAGATTGGTCTTGTACTGTAACTGTGTAATGATAAACATAAAAAAATGCAGAATAGTTACTCTAGTATTAACTATAGCCCTAATTAGCTAATGCACAAGCTGTCTTGTAGCGACATCAAGCTCATTATTATGCTCTTAAATCTAGATATTGCAGCACAGATGACGCATCTTATCACCCAGTGTTCTGAGACTTCTCAGTATACCCAAATCTTTCAGTAGAGTTCAGGCATTTACTGTATTGTTCCGGTTGTATTACTTCTAGCTACAGCTGTAATGCTTCACTTTTAAACTACATAAACAAAATTAATATGCAGAAGGGAGAAAAATCTCATTGAAACGGTTTTTCATTATTACCAAATCACGAATGTAATACTGCTCCCCTGAGATTTTGATCCCCATTTTAAATGCTTTTAAACCAGTGTGTGCTATTTCTTCCAAACATTCAGAAGTATCATGAAATAAAACTATTTAGTAAGTAAATTATAAATAAACTTGGAGTGCTTAAAGCACAGAAGTGGGATTCAGGAGACATTGTAGTTCTGGTCCTGGCTCTCACTGACTTCATGCAACCTTGCTCAAGTCACTTAACTCCTCCTCTAAGACAATTTTCTTCCCCATCTGGCAATGCAGTGGAAGGCAGTAGTCATCCACTGTATCTCACATTACATTGTGAGATTAATGTTAAATAATTTGAGGTACTCTAAGGTGCTATAGAAATACAAACAGTGATTTTTTTTAAACAAAAAATGTTTTCATCCATCAGTTGATACTGAAAGAGATGAGCTAGACAAATTAACTGCAACTCTTAATAAAAGAGATCAGTTCTCTCCTTTTGTATAAGTTATACTAGGGGTCAGCAACCTATGGCTCGCTGCTACCTGCCGGGACCCCGGCAGGCAGCAGTGGGCCATTAAAAATCCTGTCTGCCCCGGCCCGCTCTTCTCCATGCCCCTTCCTCCCCCCCCCCCCTCGTGGGGGCAGGGTGAAGAAGCTTGGTCCTGCTGGCTGCTGCTGCAGGGCAGGCAAGGTCCCCCCTCCCCTGCCTCTTCCCCCAGTGTGCTGGGTTCCTGCCCCTCCTCTTCTCTCTCCCTGCTGAGATCAGCTGATGGAGGGGGAGAAGTGGAGCCGCAGTGCACTCGCTGCTCCGGGGAGGAGGCAGAGAAGAGGTGGGGACGGGGCCTTGGGGAAGGGGGTGGACTCAGGGCATATTCCCTCCAGCCCACTGCCGTGAGCCACTCTGGGCAGGGGGCTGGGAACACCCCCACGACCCTAGCCCACACCCTCAGCCCCCTGCCCTGACTCCTGCACCCTCCTCACACACACACACCCTGCCCTGACTCCTGCACCCCCCTCACACCCCAGCCTCCTGTCCTGACCCCTGCACCCCCCACGACCCCAGCCTTTACTCCAGCACCTCCCACGTATACCCAGCCTGCCCACACCCTCCTCACACACACCCCGCACCCTGCCCTGACTCTTGCACCCCCCACATTCTCATTCCCACCCTGAGCACCAAACAGGAGCTCCTGCACCCCCCCCACATTCCTACCTGCACCCCTTGCACCAAATGGGAGCTGCCCAGGTAAGCACTCCACACCCAAACCTCCTGCTCCAACCCTGAGCCCCCTCCCTCATTCTAGCTCCTGGCCAGACCCTACACCCCAACCCCCAGCCTGCTCCTTCACCCCCAGCCCTGTGCTCAGTGCACTCCCACCCTCAGCTCAGGGCAGAGAGAGAGGAAGAGAATGGGCTAGAACCAAGAAGAAGGTAGGTACCCACTCTATGTGCACAGGGCCAGGACCGCAGACCGGCAACAGGCTGAGCAGGGCCAGCAGCCGGCACCCTGGCTGGCAGGAGCCAGTGGATGGAACCCCAGACCAGCAGCGGGCTGGCCCCGCTCAGCCCGCTGCCGGCCTGGGGTCCTGGCCGCTGGCCCCGCTCAGCCTGCTGCCGGCCTAGGTGAACGGAATCCCAGGCGGTCAGCGGGCTGAGCAGGCCAGCGGCGTAAGATCAGCATTTTAATTTAATTTTAAATGAAGCTTCTTAAACATTTTGAAAACCTTGTTTACGTTACATACGACAATAGTTTAGTTATATAATATATAGACTTATAGAGAGACCTTCTAAAAAACGTTAAAATGTATTACTGGCACGCGAAACTTTAAATTAAAGTGAATAAATGAAGAGTTAGCACACCACTTCTGAACGGTTGCCGACCCCTGAGTTATGCTATCGATTCTGTATATTAAAAATGCTGATGTTTCTTTCACATTGGATGTAGGTAAAACTGATTCTCCCCCTCTCCCCCCCACCTCGTGTACTTAATTTCTTGTGCCTCTTCCTACAGAAGAGGAAATATGGTTTGTCTCATTGCCTCAGAATATATTTTCAGTGCTCCAAATTAAATTAGCCATTTGTCTGCTGCTAACCCTCATGAGTAATACTAATTCCCTGTGAACCAAGATGAATGAATTCCAGGATTCCTTCATTTCTTTTAAAGAACACTGACAAATTAAAAATCTTATCTGTGCTCTTACTGCTCTCTTAAAGCGGTACCTTAGATTAAGAGGAAATTTGCTTGTCTTTTTCTCAGTTTACTCTGTATTTTTACTTTCTCTTTGTATGGCACTTTCACAGAGCAGAAAGGGTGAGAAACATTTAAAACATGGGGAAGATGTAATGCAAACTGTAAATTGGCAAGGGGGACGCAAGGGCACATGTAGTCTCAAGTTGCTTTAGACAATTTTACAAGGCTGTTTGGGGTTATATTTTTTAGTTACCATCTTGTGCTAAAATCTTCTTGCCTGTCATTCCAATAATCAACACGTTCAATCTACCTCTTTTCCCCCAAAACCCCATATTGGAAACACACTTACCTAGGACTTGATTCTCTTGCAGATGAGAAGGGCCCTTTCTTCCATCACGGTCCCTGGATTCATTCTCATATCTCTGGATATATGCTCACATGAGTCACCATGCCTGTTCCTCACAAATACCCCATGCTGTTTGCTTGCTAAATAACCTGGACTGTCTTAGACATCCAGAGTCACTCTCAGTTCTGACACCACTCAATTTGCCATTCACCCCCACCACATCAGTTCTCTTCCCACCAGTTCTTCAGGGTTTTTTTCCTTCTTTTATCTGCTCTTCTCTTTGCTCCAGTGAAATCTCAGTACATTCATGCAGTCTTCAGTACCTCTATTTCAGATCTCATGTCTTCTGTAGATAGAAGATACCTCACTACTTGTCCTGGCAACTCAACATACAAGTCCCATGACCTCATTTTTCCAGGGAGGGGTAGGGCATTCTTTTCTAACACCACTCTCGTTTAGGGAGGGGCTATTGGAGCAGATGAAATCTTTGGCCCCTCTCTGGAGTAGGATAAGGATCTTGGATATCTTGTTTCCTGCCTATATCTAGGAGGAGAAGGCTGAGTCCAGCTGCAGTGTGGCAGAACAGGATTATTCTGAGCCTGTTCTTTGCCAGACAACAGAGGAAGGAGCAGACCTGGCCTAAGGAGGAGGAGAACAGAAGAGCTGCTGACCTTCATTCCCTTTCAGTTAGGCACAGGGTAGTGTAAGGCTGGAGGATTCAGCAAGGGCTGCTGCAGGTGTTCCTCTACTTTATGCTTGATCTCAGCACCAGATTAAGAATGGAGTTCCCCTGCAGGTTTGACTGTGTAATAGCAGCAGATACTTTCACTGCCTGGCAGCTCAGTTGAGGCTTGAGGGGTTTTTTGCAACTGGTAGGGCCAGAAACTTTTTTTTATTTTTAAATGAAAATCTAAGTTCTGTACAGGTTTGGCATTGGTCATACTCAACCTGACAAATCTTCCTACTTAGAATCCTTCAAAGTTTCCTCAATTCTGGTGAATTTCATTTTGAGACAGTCCTAGATTGACTAGACTTAAACTGGTGTCCCTATGATAAATCTAGGAATATTTTGGAAGGAAATGCGGAGCACATAGCAGATACACATGTAGGCTGATTCCCAGGACAAATGTATAAAGAGTATTAATCTTTGACCTGATCAGTTGCTGTTGTTGAAGGGTGATGCCTTTCTCTAGTTTAAATATTGGATGGCTCTATAAGTTACCTATATTGATTTCTTGCAAAGATTATTTGAATGTGCCTTACTGTTTCTTCCTTATTTCGTTAGTACGTGTTTCTTGATGGGGCCTGTGAAGCAGCTGAAAAAAATGTTTGAGCCAACAAGATTAATTGCTACAATTGTTATGCTGGTAAACTACATTTACTAATATTTTTAACTTTAAAATCTGACTGCATGGCGGGTGGGGAAGGAAGCAAATCTGAGGCTTTGGCCAGAAAAAGGTATTGCCTGGATGCACATTAAGTTTTTATTGGATTATTATGTGCTGGACTGGTAACACCATCTTTTAACATTGCCTGACATTTCTCATTATAAGAGTCTATTTTCAGTTGCTCATAAATTTTGCCAAACTTAAATCATTATGGCTGAAATTTTCCATGCCAGGTGTGAACCTCAGGCTGAAAACTTCACCTAAAACAGTTCAGCTGTTTGAGACTGAGGCTAGGAAAAATATGGTGTGGGGTTTTTTGTTTTTGTTTTTTGGGGTCTCCTGTTTTTTAAAAATACAGAATTTTTTTTCTTTCCTTTGAAAGGCTTTAGTGCCTGCATGCGCTGGAGTAGGTACCTGAAATTTTGGCAGGTTTCCTTTGTGTTAAGGTATGCTTTTTGCCATCTGTGTGAAAATACACCTGCCCCCAATTTGGCCTGGTTATAAACCTTTGAGAAATCTCACATGGCTTGTGATCAGTGGAGACTTGCTAGAGCATCATTGCTAAATTCAGCCTGGGGCTGAGCAGAAATTTCTCTCATTTGTAGCTCTGAGCTACAGCAGCCCAGGCTGTGCAGGGCACTGGAACTAAGAGAAGAGAGCTGCTCCTGTGCTCTCAGTGCCCTCTGCTAGGCTCAGGAGGCATAGAGGAGGGAGCTCCCCAATATAATGCAAAGGGGATGAGAGCCACACTGCAAGGTGATGGGAAACGTATCTGATGAGTCAGGATATAGGAGAACTGGGTCTGGCTGGGCAGAAAGACTGGGACAAGAAGCTGTGGTGGGTCAGAGTGGGGGATGGACTTGGCAATGGCTGGGCAGGGAGACTGGAACTGGGATTGAAAAGCCAGGGTGGGGAAGAGACAGGACTGGGACAGGATGGAGGGGACTGGGCAGAAAGGGCTAAGCCTCCAGGGCCCAACTAGAGCACACTCCCTTCCAGCACCCGGAATGGAACTCGAGTCTTGAGTTTCACCATTCCTCTACTGTCAGCAAATATCTGTGAAACTCACTGGCAGTCTCATCTCTTCTCCCCCTCCCCCCCGCCCCCCTTTCAGTCTGCTGGTCCACATAGTGGATAACAACCCACCAGCACAAGTGGCAAACGTCTGTGTAGTAGAACTAAAGGTTCCAGTTCTGCTCATGACCCATATGGGTGTAAATATGATGTCACATGATAGAATTTTTTTCTGTTGGCTTTTTTAAAAAAACCAAGAAAGTATACACCCAAAACAGTTGCAAAGTCAAGCACTCAAAAGTTAGGAAATGCCAGGATTAAAGTTGTCCATGTAACCTTAGATCAGGTTCCTAGCACAGTGTTTCTCAAACTGTGGTCCACAGACCCCAGGGGACTCCAGGGGGTCCACAGGCCCCACTCAGAAACTCCTCCCCCTATCTCCCAGGCACGACTCCAGCATGCTGGGGAGCAGGCTTACCTCTCCTGGCTCTCTGCCACTCCCAGAAACGGCGGGCATGTCCCTGGGGTGGGGTGGGGCCAGGGGGTCTCCGCACACTGCTCCTGCACACAGGCGCTGCCCCTGCAGCTCCCATTGGCCCGGAACTTCGGCCAATGGGAGCTGCAGGGGCAGCGCCTGTGTGCAGGGGCAGCGTGCAGAGACCCCGTGCCCCTCCACCCACCTAAGAGCCGCAGCCAGAGGGATGTGCCAGTCACTTTTGGGAGCGTACCAAGGTAAGTGTCGCACCCCTCCTGCACCCAAACTCCCTCCCAGAAGCCACACCCCCCGCCCCAGCCTGATGAAAGTGAGTGAGGGTGGGAAAGAGGGAGTAATGGAGGGAGGGTGGAGTGAGCAGGGGCGGGGCCTTGGAGAAGGGGTAGGACAGGGGCAGGCCCCGGAAAGGGGGCGGGGCAGTGGCTGAGCAGAGGGACTTGGGGGCGGGGGGTTCTCAAAAAAATTTTAAATCAAAATGCGGGTCCTCAGTTTGCTAAAGTTTGAGAACCACTGCCCTAGCGCACATGCATTATGCAGTCTTGAAGTACATGATCATACTATTTTTTTCCCTCTTGATCTCTGTCTCATTCATTGCACCAGGTGGACCTGCTCTGGGGCTGAAGCAATGTTGTGTAGAAAAAGATGCTGCTGTCTATAGGACCCATACTTTCTTTGTTGCAGCAGTTGGAAAGTGTGTAGTGAATGAGTCAGGAGATTGAAAGAAGGAAAAAGATGGCTTCATGGTTAAGGCAGTTGAATGCAGCCCTAGATAATTGGATTCTATTAGAACTGATTGAGAACTTTGTCAATGATATTCTGATGGAAAATTCACTTTTTCTGCTATATCAAATTTTTCCAGGGGAAAATAGTTCCCAGCTGCTTGGCAGCCTGGGACACCTGTCTCCACGTGCTGTCTGGTTCCCTGCCTGGTGAGCTGCTAGGGCCTGGGCAGCTTGGGGAGCCTCAGACCTTTCAAAAAGGTCAAAATGAAATATAGTTTCAAAAAAGTTGAAGCAAAATATCAGAGTTCCCAGTCTGCAGGAAATTTCAGTTGTTACATTTTTAAATGTTTGGGATGGGGGAGGCTCCCCACTCCCAATGGAATGGGAATTCCAGTGTCTGGTCAGCTCTAGATTCTGACCCTGCCACAGAGTTCCTCTGTGATGCTGGGCTGATTGCTTAAAAAATAACCCTTTCACACATGGGCACTAATTGAGTGTTCTGGGGGCCTGACTTAAAGCCCTAGGGTCTGAGTTTCAGAAGTACTGAGCACTTCAGCTGAAGTCAGTGGCAACTATGTTTTGAACATAAAGTGCTATCTAATGCTAAGACTCTGAAAAAACAGGTCCTAGGTGTCTCAAATTGGGCACCCAAAATTAGTGGATACTTTGGACCTTAATTTATCTGTGCCTCAGTTCCACAGCTGTAATATGGGGATAATACCCAATCATCTCACAAGGTTTTGTGAAAATCAATTCATTAATATTTGTGAAGCACTCTGTACAATGATGAATGCCATAGAAAGGCCCATCAGGAGATTAATAATTCTGTCATCAGAGCAGAGTTAGAAAAGTACAGTAAATAAGGCCTGGGGCCACATACTGAACTATGAGGTTAAAACAAAATATTGCATACCTGCTCTTTTAAGTGAGCAAAATGCATTCTGTACACTGAATGAGGCAGATTTCCTGTAGGGGGGAAAAGCATGTGATCATGTAATTAAAGACTGTCGTAATGCATATGCACACGGGCCAAATTAAGGCTGCACAGACCACCTTAATTCTGGAATTTCCTAACTTTTGAATGCTAGACTTCGCAACCTTAGTTATTTTAATATTTTTTTAATGTTCTTTATGTTGCAGTAGCTCTCAATGTGCTCTGCATTGTACATTTGCACAGGAAGATAGTCTTTTTGTCCCAAAGAATTTAAAATGGGACAAAAAAAGTGAGGAAATTGGAAGCATTGCAATCATCACCTTGACTACGTACACGTAATTTGTTCCATAGAGGCCACATAGGGCTTGTCTACATGAACACTTAATTTGCTGCAAGATGGGATACAAATCTACCCCACACTATTCTGCCACACACTAAGTGTCCATGTGGACCCTGTTGCCGTGCACTAGAATTTCCCCCGTGAACTTTAATCTATCCAGTTTTTAAACGGGAGTAGATTAAAATGCTTTAGGGAACTGTTAGTGCATGGCAGCATGGCTTACATGGATACTTAGTTTCAGAGTAACAGCCGTGTTAGTCTGTATTCGCAAAAAGAAAAGGAGTACTTGTGGCACCTTAGAGACTAACCAATTTATTTGCGCATGAGCTTTCGTGAGCTACAGCTCACTTCATCGGATGCATAAAGCTCAACAGGGTCTTCTTTCCCCGCTGATTCTGCCAAGCCCATTCCCTTGGCTGTGGTTTCGCTAGATAGTAGGTAGGGACAGTGGGAATCTCTTTCATCCATTCATGCGTGTCACTAATTAGATGACGAGGCATTTGGCTATTTTACAAACCCACGCGGGTTTCTTTTTCGGGTTATTTGGGGTGTTCCTAACCCCGGGTGGCCCATCCAACCCAGTTTGTCCTGTCCAGTGATCGCGGTCATGAATTATTATTTGATGTAATCATTACGAGATTCCCACATGTCGCCTGGGGGGTCCCTTCGGGCTTGGCTTCAGCAGGTTTGAGGTTCCTTACCTATACCTGCAAAGGTGTTGAGAATGTCCGTGGAGTACAGGAGAGCCCTACGGCTGAAGAGTTTTGCAGCTCTTCCTTGCGCGGACTCTGAGAGACCGAGGGCCGAGAGGACTTGCTTGTTGATTTTGGGCCACTTTCCTCTCGCACCCAGGGGAAGCCAAAAAACTTGACCTTAGTGGCTCCCGTGAGTTTTCTGACTTCGGTAGTCAGAGACGCATAGTGTCGGACTTTCTCGGCCGCCGCATCAGAGAAAGTTTTGTCTTTGTATTCGAAGCGAACTGTGACATTGACAACCAGGGCTGTTCCATCTTTGACAAAAACAAGATCTGGTTTTCGTAGTTCATTCTTGGCAGTGTGCAGGTGTGGTTCTTGATACGTAATCCACTTAAGTTTGCGGGCTTCTCTCGCGAGTATTCCGCATAACTTGTTGTGCCTGAGGATACGTGCACTTTGCACTGCCGGACATTGTCCCAGAACATGAGAAAGCGATTCATATGAGGCATTACAATGCCTGCATTGTACGTTATGGTTGTTTTTGCCACGCCCTAGGTATTTCCTGGTGGGATACACGTTCGCTCTCAGTTTTAGGGCCGTAAGGAATTGACGTTCGGAGAACCCAGGATGGTGTTTCAGCCAGTCATTGCTGATTGGGTCGTTTCCGAAATGAGAGACCCCACTGCCTTGGCATGGTAGGTTTTCCCACTTGGAGAATTCCGCATCTCTCCAATTGCAAGGGTTTGGGTAGACCGCTTTGGGAGCTGGCCTCTCCCATTCGTTCAGTAACTCGAGGACGTGTTCTGGCAGCTTGTGGTCGACGACCACCGGATCTGTTATTGCAGGCATGGCCTTCTGATCTCCGCTGGTGGCCAGTATGCATCCGATGAAGTGAGCTGTAGCTCACGAAAGCTCATGCTCAAATTGGTTAGTCTCTAAGGTGCCACAAGTACTCCTTTTCTTTTTATGGATACTTAATATGCAGCAGGCTAGTATGGGGTCAGCCAGGGCCGTCCCTACAGGGGTAGTGGGGTCCGGGACAAATCCGCCTGGACACTCTCTCCCCCTGCCTGGGCCAGTGTAGTGACACAAACAGCTCCCTGGCAGAATTTCCTATCTAGGTTGTACTGAGCGTGCTCACCCAAACTGAGCAGGCATAGTAACATCTGCTGATGCCTACACCAGCCTAGTGCCCTCCCGCACTCTAACCCCACCCCCCGGGTCAGCCTATAGGCTCTGACTCTGTGGGTGCTCCAGGGCTGGAGCACCCGTGGGGGAAAAAATGGTGGGTGCTGAGCACCCGCTAGCGGCCCCATGGATTAGCACCTCCCCTTCCCTCCCTGTGCCTCCCATCCATGACAAACAGCTGTTTCATGGTGTTCAGAGAGGCTGAGAAGGAGGGGGGATGTGGCGGGCTCAGGAAAGGGGGCAGAACTGGGTGGGATGGGGCCTTGGGGGAAGAGGTGAAGTGGGGGCAGGGCCTGGGGAAGAGCCTAGGGTCGAGTACCCCTCGGCAGTTTGAAAAGCTGTGGCGCCTGGTCCCGCACTACAGATGCACACTGAAGCGCGGGGCCTCCTCAAAGCATGGGGCCCCGAGCAGTTGCCATGATTTGCCATACCCAAGGGTCAGCTCTGGGGTCAGTTTACATTCCAGTTTGCCAGGAGCCAAGTATTCATGTAGACAAGCTCTTAGAAACTTTGAGCACAGTTTCAGTGGAGTAAAGAGGACAGAAATCAGATTAGGGGAAATGTAGTTGGATAAGGAACCCAAGGCAATGGTTAACTGTATATTTCTGCATTTTATACTAGATAAATTCTGTGACTAATCTGGGATTATAAACCATTTCATTTTTAATCACTTAGTTGCAATGTTACACCAAGGAAAGCTGTATCATGAAGAAAGGGTAGTTGGAAAGCATAAATGTGTAAAACATGCAGGAAAAACTATACATTACAGAGATTGACAGTATTTCTAGCAAGATACTTTAGGCTCTTCATGGCCCATACTCTGCCCTCAAGGGAAATCCTACTTTTCAATTAACGACACTGTACTTACAATTGCAAATCTTTTGATTTTAATTAGAAAAACAAATTACTCTGTTCATAAATTTGGCCCTTACGCTATTTGGAATCATATTACAAGATACTGAAGCTAAATATACTTGGCATCCTCCTTTGTCCTATTAAAATGCAAACTGACAACTGATAGGAAATAACAAAGAGCCACATGAGTAGCTTGAATAAAGTTTCATCTAAACTTTTTTTATTGAATACAAAACAGCTGCTCCCTAGTGGGCCTCGTCTCACTATTACTGGGAGACAAAAACATTGGCAGAAACCAAGTCTGTATTTGCCAAATACAGTAATTGTGAATGGATGTTTTTAACAGTGGATTGTCCATCATAATGCTAGTGCCTGTCTTGTCAGAAGATGGGTATTGTGAATTCTAGATTCACAGTGACACTGTTTTTGGCATTAATTCTCAGGATTAAGTTCAGACTGATACTATAGAAAAGCCTATGGATTTCCTTATTACCAATGGTGCATATGAAAATGCTGATGATTTATTGAGAACATGTCAACTATTTGCTTGATTGGATATTTGCACACTATACCCATTGGTTTTTCTTTTTCCTCAGTTGTGTTTGATATTGACTCTGTGTGCTGTATTCTGGGTAAGTGATATTAACTCAAATCCTCTGTCCCTTTTAAGAGCAAGCTGGTTTGCCTAGATTTTTGGCTGTGGTAACACTGTGGTTCATCTAATGTTTAAGAGTGGTTCTGGGATTGTATCAGTAAAGCTCAATGAAGTCAGAGGGATAGATGACCTTGGGCAGGAATGGTGTACCTAGCCTCTGTTTGCCAGAAGCTGGGAATGAGCGATGGGATGGATCACTTGATGATCACCTGTTCTGTTCATTGCCTCTCGGGCACCTGGCACTGGCCACTGTTGGAAGACGGGATACTGGGCTAGATGGACCTTTGGTCTGACCCAGTAGGGCCATTCTTATGTTCTTATGAATCATTTAAACAAATTCCACTTTTAATGGAAGTGTGCAACATTGGTGTTTGAATTGCATTTAGTTGGTGGATGGCATTGAGCATCTCTGCTACAGAGCAAGAGCACTCTTACAACTGCATATTGTGGGAAAGGAGTTGCAGAACATAAGATCTTAAAATGAGTAAAGGAAAATAGAAATGATAAACTTTTGTATAAAAGTATCTTCAGCCACCTCAGATCTATGCTTTTGTAATTCAAGTGTCAATACAAGGGTAAAGGTAAACATGTATCTGAAAAGAACGTACACTGTAATGTTGCACAGATCAAATATGGATAGTGAATATGAAGGAGATAGTAGTTTGGTAGTTGGAATTCTTTGTTCTGAAGAGTTTCATAACTAGGGAAGACTTAAGTTGCAAAGATGCTAATTAGCTCTCTTCAGTTGGAATGATAGTCTAACAATTGATTATAGTTATTGCAAAGGAGAAGGAGATCTGTTTAAGCTCCTAAACCTTCATAAATAAGGAGATTGACCATCATGGATCAGCTAAGGTTTTGGAGTGAACTGGATTGAGTAGGCTAGTAATTTTAGTTACTAAATTAAATAATTTTGTACAAATCAATTTTAATCTGCAATTTTTCTTTTGTTTTAGTGGGGTAAGAAAGGTTTGGCCCTGCTATTCTGCATACTCCAGTTCCTAGCAATGACCTGGTAAGCCTTTTTTAAAATTTATCTTGAATTGTTTATCACTTGCCATATAACCTTGACATGTAATTAAGAGGTACATATGAAAAAAGATAGGGCCAAATTCTTTCCAAGTCACATATTGCTCTAAATTATGTTGTGTATGTGCAGTTTGGCAGGATTTAGCTCAAATTATCTTGCAGACAAATGTCTGATAGCTTTAGATATATGCTAGAAAATGTGATCCTTAATTCACTGGGTCTGAGAGTGAGTGACTCTATATCCTGATGAGTAGGATGCCCACCTGAGAGGTGGAACACCTAGGGTCCAGTCCCCTTGCTCTAATGACTGTTTTAAATATTTATGTATCTAAAGTGCACAAGCTTCAATTAAGAGAGGCTGATGGAGAGCCACATCAGAATATCCTATAGCCCAGTGGTTAGTGTACTCTCCTGAGAGGTGGGGAAAATCCGTTCAAGTCTCTTCTTCCCATCAGATGAGGGAATTGAACCCAGCTCTCCCACATCCCAAATGAGCCTTCTAAGCACTGGCCTAAAAGTTAAGGAAGGTACCACCTACTCCTCTTCGTTTGGCAGGATTTTGACTGGGGACCAATGTGATAGGCATGCTCTGAACACACATACCGGATTGGGTCCCACGGATGAGAGAGGTCGATAAATGCCTGTTTTCCCCTGGCTTTGTGGATCACACTGGGGATAGGCATCTGGATGGTTAGAGCAAGGCAGCAGTGCATGTGCCCAGGGGCAGAAACTTAAGCACCTAGGGAACTTTTACAGATGAAGCTTAGGTGCAGTGCAGGGATGGGGTGGGGGTTGTGAATCACATTAGTGCCTAAAATTGGGACTTAGATATGCAGGTTCCTTTGTGGATCTGGGCTGTGGTGATTTTCCTATATGAAAATCAGGTATGGTGTGCGCATCTTCCCTATTTCAAATACAGGAACATTTATCAGACACTGGACAATGTGTGGTCCAACCTTTAAGTTCTCCTAACCAAAGGGAGGCAGATATTGGGCACTGGGTTTGGCTGTATGGCTAAGCTTGGTGTCCAGTGCAAGGGTGAGGCTCAAAATGGCTAGTTCCCAGAGATAAACAGAAGAAAACTCTGAGCTAACTGGTAAACCCTCTTAGTCTGGAGGAAAAAGGGGAGACAGTAAGTTCCTGCGGAGAGATGGCTTTCAAATGTACCCTTTTGTCCCCTCTCGGGAGGGAAGGAGGATTCAGAAGTAGGCTAAATGCTTAGGAGTTAGGCTGAAGCGGGCGAACCCTGAGAGTTTGTTGTTTTTATGGAGACCATTTAATGTTGCACTGGATCCAAGTAAATAATAGGTAATTGGGGACTGGTGGAGATTAGGGCCTTATAACTAAAACTAAAAGTTAATAAAGTTGTGGTCTTTTGATATCAAATCCATCCCAGTGTCTGATTAGGACAAGTAGGAGAATGAAACACAATTTCTTCAAGTACTTGTTCATGTCCATTTCATGTCTGGTTCAAAGCCCTGACAGACTTAATCGCCCAAGTGTCGGCGCACCCATTGATGACAGCCCGGATGCATCTATGTCTACTAGGTCACATGGCAGCGTGTACATATGTGGTGTGGCACGCACGCCTGCACCTCAGACAGCTTCAGATGTGGCTAACATTAGTGTACTCTCCGAGCAGGAACAGGCTGGATTCCATTCTCACCATCCTAGTGTCAGTCCTGGCTTCCCGGAAGTGGTGGTTAGGGTCTGACCCTAACCTGGGGCCAGGTCTAACTACCACTTCAGGGAAGCCAGAACATGTTGCTATAAGAGCAAAATTCCATAAAGTAGTCTTACTCTACAGCTATGTGTGCACTATACACACCACCAGGTACGTATTTGCATAAACTACTTTTGTTCTATTCAAACCAGACAATGATGTCTTTGCTGTCTTGATTTCTGGGAGGATTGTAGGTTTTATATAGTTCAGTAATCAGTCTTCAGGAACCAAAGTTAAGAATCCTAAAGTGATAGTAAATCTCCATATTACATTTTGTAGTGGAATTCGTATTCAATGGAAGTTATATACTACATAGCAACATTCAAAGAAAAAAGGAGACCAGAATCTCTTGGCAGTACACTTAGTTCTTGCAGAATCCTTTTATTTTCAAGTGGATGTAATTTGAATACGTAATCCTGTTACAGGGTTCAATATACCAGTGTGCTTTTGTTAATTCTGGACTAAAATACTGAATTGATATGTAGAAAACAAATGAAACCTCTCAAATTTTAACTATATTGTTCCTCTCCTTTTTCAGGTATAGTCTCTCATATATTCCTTTTGCAAGGTGAGTCTCTTTTAATTGCCCTCATTTTATAAAAATAAAAGTTAGCCTATTTAGTTCTAAATTTTTTTTCAAAAGTGTAATTTTCTTGAAAATCACATCTTTTAACTTACTAATTTTGAAAAGTCAAATATAATATCCTCAATCTTAATTTTTTAGCATTTGGAGGATAATTGTTTTTGAATTAAAAGTTGTACCATCAGTAGGCTTGGAAGGTTTAGGTTTTTATTGGTATGTCTGTAAACATCAACTTCATCGTATATGCACAGATAAGAAAATATTTCCATCAAAATGTACAAATAGGCAGAGTAAGAAAAATGCTGCTTGAGAACTTACTAGAATGTAATTTTTTTAAGGATATTTATTGTGTGTTTTGACATGTGATGTTGACAGTTTGTGTATTAACAGTTATAAAGTTTGAACTTTTTGAATGTCCGCATCTGTCATTAAAAAATTGTCTGAACTCCAATAATTTCTTGCAACTGTGAACATTTAAATCAATAAAAATAAAAAAAAGCTTAAATAAACATTTAGTTTATGGGTCAAAATTATAAAAAATAAAAATTGAATTCTGCCAAGTCTACCATAACGAATGCCTGTTCTGAAGTTTAAGTTGGGTGCGGATAAAGATACTCAGCAATTTGCTTGTTAAAGCATTGTAGCATTTTTTTTCTAGATTTAATCCCCCAAATAATTGTTTGTTATAATATGATACAACACTGCTTAGTTTAAGGATATTTCCTACATAAATTTGCTTATACATTTGACAATATTTAGTAGCTTAAATGGACACAATGAATGTGAAATCTAGTCAGTTTTAAAAAATTAAATAGTTTGTTACTAAATCTGTTTTTGAACCACCTGCCAGAGTTTGTGGTTTTGCCATTTTCCTGTTTTTTAAAATCTGCCCCACCATTATTCCTGTGTGAAAGACCCACGTACTTAGGGGAAACTGGCACTACACACAGTGCCATCAAATGCATAAAGTAAATTTTTTTTTTTTAGTTGAATTGAAAGATTAGAGAAACTATAGTGCAATTTGGTCTTTTGACAATAGTATGTTAAAGCACTTAATTCTGATTTTTTTTTTTTACATTGACTGTCTGCTCCTTTAAATATATCCTGCCTTGCTAAGTTTTTCATAGTACCTCTCCTTTCATCTTGTATTTTCTCACTGCTTTTCTATAATAATCCAACAAAACCTGACATAAGCAACAAAAATCTATGCTAAGACTCTTAAGTGTGGCAGAATTAAACAATAATATAAATTAGTTATAGCAACAGGTGATCTCATTAATTCTAACAAGACTGTGTCTTCAAGATAGTTGCAAACAGTGAAATAAATCCTATTTAAATACTATAACATGTCACCTTAATTTGGACACCTCCAACTTCCCCAATCAGATTACTAGCATTCTAAATTTCTACATTTCCAGCAATCATGTCTCACTTTCTGTAGGCTTATTTTTGTTCAAATCAGTTTAATTCATACTACTGTGTTTTAGTATGCTCAAAGATATTAACTATTGGTCCCTGGCCTTCTCTTTCTTTTGTTTGAATGCTGGTCTGATAAAACAGAGTTTATTTGCTTCAGTTCAATTGTTTAGATAATATAAAAGTGTCTATGTAATAAAAACAAAGAACCCTATGATTATTTTGACAGGTTGTTTAAATACTGTACTAGCCTAATACTTTTTCAGGTAACTGAAGTATTTGCTAGTATAAAATGCCATCACAAGTTGAGCTTCATACGTTGTCTGGCTTATGCAAATAGTTGGCTGAGCTGGTGCCAGGAAATGGTATTGCGTAACTTCTCTAAAGTACTCATGTGTTTTTAATTTACACTAAAAAAAAAAATTGTAGCAACAAAAATACCCCTAATGCGGCTTATTCACTTCCAGTAGAATGTGATCTACCTTATTTTTTAGCACTTGTTTTATTATATAAATCTTAATTCTGGGACAGCTGTGTTGGGGCATACGAAAATAGCTTGTTTCACCTAAACTCAAGAATATGGGATGTGTCCCTGAATTTTCAAAGTGGCTAACAACCAAGTACAAAAATTCTGCTGAATAGTAAATTAAGTTTTGGGAAGATAAAAATAAATGAGGCTGAACAAATTCAGACTAATCCAAACGGAACAGTATACAAAATCAATTTACAAAATGCTCATTAGGGAAGCAAAGCCCCTTCAGATATTTCAAACTCTCCACCGAGATTAATAAATTATCAGAATTCTGCATCTGACAAGTAATTAAAATTTTCATTTTGTCATCCAAAATAGTGCATAATTGAATTTGTATGTTTTATAACTAATTTTGGGAAATAGAACACAATATTATGTAGTCTGAAAAATATTAGTGACCTGAATGTGGCCTGTAAAAAAATAAATGTTGTGTTTTTTTTTTAAGGGATGCTGTGATTAAATGCTTCACGTCCTGCCTGAGTTAGACTAAACAAAACAAACTATTCAACAGCTTTTAAAAGCCAACTTTATATTTTTGTGAAGTTTACTCAGAAAAATTATGAACTTCCACTCCCGAAACAACACTTGCTGACCGTTTTAGTATTTTCCTTGCCTTTTGCATGCTGGGGATTAAATCATTTTAGCAGAACCAAGTTTAAATATGAGCCAGGTAAGCAGTGTTTTATCCCTGTCTGAACCATTTGGAAACTAGCATAGGTTTAACACTTTATGCAATGTAATCTTAAAACTGTTTGAGTTAGTTTCTGTTAACACAGTTTAATCCCCAATGTAGACAATTCAGGATTCTGGGTAACATATGTAAAAGTTTCATATAAAGTTTTGTCTCATATTTCTTATGTGCAATTACTATTTGTTTACTCTATGCGTTTCCCAAAGATCAGAATTTTGTAATTATTATAGAGAAATATTTTTAGTTAATTATAGGTGATAGGGCTGCTTTGAAATGTTTGTACATGTGCAGTATGGAGAAAGCGTGGTCTGAACATGAGAGGTCTGGTAAAAGCTTGCTCAGTTTTGTTATACTTACTTTTTAAGCACCAATCTTTTCACTTTGAAACTTAAAATATATTTGATTAAAATGGCTTATGGATAATATATAAATCAATGATTACAAAATAAATGAATTATTTTAAGTGTCTAGACTATCTAATTTTTAGACTTGAGCCATATAGGCAGGAAAATTAAAACATTATGCTTGCAATATATATTTCACTTTGAAATTAGTCAACACACTTTCAGTTATTACTTCAAATCTCTTTTGCTATCCCCTTTCCTATCTGTCAGACTAAAAATAATTGTGTTGGTACAGGTACTTAACTCAAACTGTCTCAGAATACAAAAGTGACTTTAAAACCTTTAATTTTTATTAGCTTTTTTGAAAAAATGCTCCTGGTGGTTTAATGTACATGAAGTGAATATATAACTATGTGGAATAGTCGAATAGGACATTCAATAAGGACAAATACAAAGTACTCCACTTAGGAAGGAACAATCAGTTGCACACATACAAAATGTGAAATGACTGCCTAGGAGTACTGTGGAAAGGGATCTAGGGGTCATAGTGGATCACAAGCTAAATATGAGTCAGTGTAACGCTGTTGCAAAAAAAGCAAACATAATTCTGAGATGTATTAGCAGGAGTATTGTAAGCAAGACACAAGAAGTAATTCTTCCGCTCTACTCCATGCTGATTAGGCCTCAACTGGAGTATTGTGTCCAGTTCTGGGCACCACATTTCAGGAAAGATGTGGACAAATTGGAGAGGCCAGAGAAGAGCAACAAAAATGATTCAAAGTCTAGAAAACATGACCTATGAGGGAAGATTGAAAACATTGGGTTTGTTTAGTCTGGAGGAGAGGGGACATAAGTTTTTAAGTACTTAAAAGGAGGAGGGAGAAAAATTATTGTTCTTAACCTCTGAGGATAGGACAAGAAGCAATGGGCTTAAATTGCAGCAAGGGCAGTTTAGGTTGGACATTAGGAAAAACTTCCTAGCTGTCAGTTATTCCAGTAAGCACTGGAATAAATTGCCTAGGGAGGTTGTGGAATTTCCATTATTGGGGATTTTTAAGAGCAGGTTCGATAAACGCCTGTCAGGGATGGTCTAGCTAGATAATACTTAGTCCTGCCTTAAGTGCAGGGGACTGGACTAGATGACCTCTAGAGGTCCCTTCCAGTTCTATGATTTTATGAATATACTTTGCTTAGCTTCTGTGAAAGCAGTGTTTTGGGGGCAAGCCTTGGTTGAATATTTTTCCAGCTGTAGCTCTTCAGGCATTGAAGAGCAAAGATAAGTCTGAGGATCCTGAAGCTACAGACAACCTAGCTCTTAAATGGCTGATGTTATGATGGTAGAAAGTTCTTTAAGTTTCCCTCTCTCCACCGCAGTACCTCCATCTCTTCCAGGTTTAGCTTTAACAAGCTTGTCTTCATGTGAATGTTGACTCCTAGACCCTGGGATGGCTGGGAGATAGTGTTTGCATTTTCTTTGAAGGAAACAGCGTGGTGGCTACATTTTACTAGCATATGCATTCCTGTTGTCTCACAGCTTCATATAGGTGTTAAATAGAAAAGGGCTGGGGGAGAGGATTCAGAGGTGAGGACTCTGGGGGCAGTCCTCTGCCTTCAGGCAGAAGGACAAGGAAGCCATTGTATTGATTAATGCTAAACCCCTGTATGTAAGACAACAGCAGCATTCCACTGAAATTTATCAAATGTGGTGGAGAGATCCTGCAATATGGGTATGGTTGGATCAGCATTATAAGGCATTCTGGCTTTACCAGTCAGTGTGAGATTGCAGGGGGTGCATACCTTCTGGGTAGTCCTGTTGAAGTAGTTAGCCAATGGGGTAGAATCTCTAAGAGGAGGGCTCTCATTAGGTAGTCCTGGTCCCTTCAGTAGGTTGTTGGGTTGATTAGCTGGGACACAGGGCAGTTGACATTAGCAAACAAGAGGGCCTTTCACTGCTCTGGCCTTCCCAACTTCATTGTTAGTGGTGGAGGGTATCAATAAATTTTGTGTTCATTGCAGTTCCAGCTGGTGACTTCCACAGGTCACCTGGACTGCAGCAATTGTACACATAGTGATGGACATGGAACAGCTTGTGGACTCCTGCTGTCAGTTGGAATGGAAATTAAAGGACAAATGAGCACTGGGGTTATGTTTATATGCTTCATAGGATTGCAACTTTGAGCAGTTGTTTCTGGCAGCAGGGGAGTCAAAACCCTCTTTTTCCAATGGGATAGCCATTGGTTTGATTCTCCCAAAACAACAGAAGTTGTTTGATTTTTGGAGACACCTTCCTTTTCTCTGTGACAGGCATGTTGATGTCTTTCTCAAGGGAAGAAGTTAACTTATGGGTGAGCCTGAGCCATCCTACAAAGCCAGGGCTTTCTCAGGCAGTAGGCTGTTCTGGCGGTAGGCCATGATAGGCATCAAGAGTAAATCAGGCTCTGAGAAGGCCTTGTTTTTTTAACCTGGGATTGTTGTGCTTGGAATTTGAGCATCAAAAAGGGGTAAGGCAGGTGATGGGGAGCATTGATGGCCTTTTCTCTTCCAAATTGCTGCCAAATCAGGTTGCCCCAAAATGTTATCCTGTTAGGGAATTAATAAGGTTGTGAACACTTGGCCAAAAATTTCAGATATTTGTATTTGTCCTCATTAGCCTCTTCAATTATCAGTGATACTTTAAGTGCCTATTTTATAATCCCATCTATGCAGAAAGCATGCTTGGTCCATGATAAAATATGGAAAAGGTAGATGAGACCTCCCATTTGACTGACAAGTTAAAAGAAACTAGCTTTGGGCTAAAAATATGCTACAGGTGTTGTTCACAGATGCTAGTTCCAGTTAAACACTTCAGTTGTCATTACCACATAGTCTGAAGTCAGATGCTGCTGATCCACTCGCCTTGTCTCATTACATATTTTAATTGTCTTCAGTAATCAGTATTACTGCTTGGTCTGGAGTATCTAATAATCTTTTAATTAGATCACTATCTAGAAAGCTCACTTCTGGAGAACAAGTTACATTCCATGCACATTCTGTTACCAGAAATGTTTTGTCAGTTACGGCAGCATTTATCCTTTCTATAAGTGAAGTGCAAGCATTTCCCCCTCAAAAAAATTGTTTTAAAAATATTTTCATAAAATCAGATGTAACTGAAAACTTTATCATTAGTGAACTGATGTAGGCAGGAACTGCAGCTGTAGGATAGCTTTCAGAGTAACAGCCGTGTTAGTCTGTATTTGCAAAAAGAAAAGGAGTACTTATGGCACCTTAGAGACTAACCAATTTATTTGAGCATAAGCTTTCATGAGCTACAGCTCACTTCATCGGATGCATACTGTGGAAAGTGTAGAAGATCTTTTTATACACACAAAGCATGAAAAAATACCTCCCCCCACCCCACTCTCCTGCTGGTAATAGCTTATCTAAAGTGATCACTCTCCTTACAATGTGTATGATGATCAAGTTGGGCCATTTCCAGCACAAATCCAGGGTTTAACAAGAACGTCTGAGGAGGGGGGTAGGAAAAAACAAGGGGAAATAGGTTACCAGCAGGAGAGTGGGTTTGTGTGTGTGTGTGTGTGTGGTGGGGGTGGTAAGAAAACCTGGATTTGTGCTGGAAATGGCCCAACTTGATTATCATACACATTGTAAGGAGAGTGATCACTTTAGATAAGCTATTACCAGCAGGAGAGTGGGGTGGGGGGAGGTATTTTTTCATGCTTTGTGTGTATAAAAAGATCTTCTACACTTTCCACAGTATGCATCCGATGAAGTGAGCTGTAGCTCATGAAAGCTTATGCTCAAATAAATTGGTTAGTCTCTAAGGTGCCACAAGTACTCCTTTTCTTTTTGTAGGATAGCTGTTTATCATGGTCTCGCTGTGTCAACTACTTTCCTTATTTCCAGACACTATGCAATAACTGGGCAAGTTGTTTGCATATACAACTGGAATCAACTCCACACAATAAGAAACTTGGAGTACTACAGTTTCAGGTACACTAATGAATATTAAAAAATTATTCCAAGAATGTTGTAATAAGGAATCTCTAAGAACCAGCTGCTACAATTTTTGCTCCAATCACTTGTGAATGGTAGTAATTAATCTCCAGCTGATTAAATCAACATATATTTAATCGTTCATTTTAGTAGTTACATGGCCACATTGTATTTATCCTCCCAGCACTCCTGTGAGGTAGGGAAGTACTACTGTCCTCATGGTATGGGGAACAGAGGCACATATTGAGCACGTGACTTGTCCATAGCCCCACAGGAAATCTGTGGTGAAGCAGGGAATCCCAGGTCTCCCAAATCTCAGCCTAACAACTGGGTCATCCTTACTCTCCTGCTTTTAACATCTTATCTGATTTGGCTTTAACAATTGTGTCCTTGTTTCCACATTTTCCTCAATTAGAATATCATGTTCTGAAACATTATCTTTGTTTTTGAGCCATGTGATCGCCCTTTGCAAACCGTCCTGCAAAATATTTCTCTGGAGTGGTTGCCCACATTCAATCACTAGCTGTTGTGGACTGTCTTCTTAGAACAATATGATATAGCTACTTTGTTGGCCTGCTTGAAAGAATAACTTCAATTATCTTCCACTGTTGCTCTGACTACTTTTCTTTCTACACTCTGGGTGATCTCATCCATGCTCTTGGTGAATGTTACCTAACCATTGCTCTCTGCTGCAAACTAATGTAGTCCTCCATCCCAACCAGTCTTACATCTCAGCCTGTCTTACTGATATCTTCTCCTAGCTGTTCTACTAAATCCTCTCACTAATCTAACTTCTCATTTTTCCTCCTAGGTTCTCTCTTCCCTTATCACTGCTGACAATTTCACTGTCCTCCCTATCATTCATGTTTGCAAGCTGTTTTATGTACCTTTTAAAACTGGGCCCATGGTCAGAGTAAGGGGAAGGATATATTGGTTTCTATTCTTACCCATCCATTCAGTTGGGTAGACTTTAATATTGGAATTATTGTGGGAAAGCTAACTCAAAAATGAGTAATACTTTGTTGTGAAAGCAGTGTGGTGAGTTATCACTTTTTTGGGTGGGAGACTGTCTCCAAAACCTCCTTTTGATTGCCTGGGTGAGCCTTTTGATGTTACAGCGATCCAGCAGCTCCTACCAGCGACCATCCAACTGAGGAACAGCAGCTCCCTCCTTCTACCATCCTCAACTGGTAGAGGTTAAGTCTAGGAACAAGACAAAGCTAAGACATTAGGAAGGAGGGGGGAGCTTAAGAGACTAGTGCCTATGGCGAGGAGAGTGTGAATGAAGGGTGAGGGGCTGAAACAGTAACGAAACTTCCACTATGCCACCTTATTTCAGAATAAATTTATGGCCTGTGTAGGTCTCTTTAAATTCACCTGTGAATGTAAAAAGGAATTGGTATCTGTTGACTATTTCACTATATTTTAGTAGAGAAGGTGAACCGGTACATCATAAATAGCTGTTCCAAGGGGGAGGAGAGTATGTAGTGCACAGCAAAAAGGGAAAGTGACCATCTGAATAGATAAGGGAAGCATTTATATTTTCTACATTTGAATATATTTAATGTTCTTTTTTTAGTGTATTAGGAACAAATTATTACAATAAATACATATTTTAAGTGACTTTTTAAAAAAATGTAAAAAGCAGTAACCCCCCTTCTGCAAGGGGTACAGTATGCCATCGCACTAGCTTTTAAAACACATCCTGAAATCCTCTGTCCTAATATTTTACAGATGTAAATGGCACAGTCTCGCTCAAACTGTGCTTACAGCTCTCGCGAACGTTTTGCTCTACCTCTTCCTCCTCAGAGCCAGTCTTGCCTCTTCTATTAATACTTTAAAAAATCACGCCCCTCCTTTCCATCATGGCTCAAACACGCGGAGGGAGTGATCCGCAGCCCCCCGCCGTGAGTGCTTCCCCCGCCCCTCAGTCCCGCCTCCTGCTCAGCCCCGCCGCTGCGTGTGTGTCTCATTCAGCGGGAGCCAGCGACGGAGCGCGGCGGTCTCAGCACGGTCGCGCTCTCCCATGGAGCTGCAGCCTGGGCACGCAGCCGGGACCGACCCGTCCGCGGGGGATGCTCGGCCCTGCCCGGGGAGCCATCAGCCCTGAGCCGCTGTGAAGAGCAGAGGGGGGTCACCGGGCACCACCATGTCCCTGCCGCCCATCCTGCCTCCCCCAGCCCCGGCCGCTCTCCCCGCCGCCCCCCGAGCGCAGCCCCGGAAGCCGGCGGCCCCCAGGAAGGCAGCGCCGCCGCCGGCCGCCGAGGAGAAGCCGCTGAGGAAGCCGCGGGGGGCGCCCCCGGAGCGGGCCGGTCCCTTCCCCAGCTCCTGGCCTTGCGCCTCCCTGCAGAGGCAGCAACCGCGGAGGCCGGCCCCGGCCCCGCCCCAGCCCCGCGGCCGCTCCTGCGAGAGCCTGTGCGCGGAGGCGGGAGCTGGAGAGGCCGCGCTGCGCTTCTCGCTCAGCCTCCCGCCCGAAGCGGCCCTGGTGCTGCAGCGCCGCAGCCTGGAGAAGCAGCGGGGGCGGCCGAGCCCCTCCGCCGGCCCCGAGCGCCTCCTGCCGGGCTCCCGGAGCAAGGCGGCGGCGGCGGCGGCGGCGGCGCGGCGCGGAGGGGGGCCCGGGCCGGGCCGGGCTCCGGGCCGGGGGACTTGCGCGCCCTGCTGAAGATCTCGCTGCTGAACGAGCGGCACCGCTACGACGACGTGGAGTACGAGGAGGAGGCGGCGCCGGGGGCCGCGGCGGACGAGGGGCTGGTGCGCAAGTGCACCGAGTGGCTGCGCGGGGTGGAGAGCGCGGCCGGCCGGGAGCGGGCCGACAAGCTGGAGACCCTGCCCCACCTGGGGGCGCTCTGAGGCTTGGGGGGAGTGCCCTGCCCGCCCCGCCAAACACCCCCTCTCCCTGCCCTGCCGCACGCAGCCGGGGAGCGCTCAGCCCCCGCCCCTCCTCGCAGCAGTAGCCGGGGGGCTCCCCGTGGGATGTGCCGGGGAGCGGGGTTCTTCTTCTCTCATCATGAGCCCCCCCGGGAAGCTGGACAGCACCGTGTCCTGCTCCGAAGCCACCTGACGTCTTCGTCTGCTCAGACTCAGAGTCACGGAAAGCGGAGTTTTAGTGCCAGGTTTAACCGCCCGCCCTGCTGCTATCCCCGCCTGAGGAAACTGACTTGCGCTTTGACCCGCTGGAGGCGGGCGGCCGTTCCAGGCGCTACATAAAGGGGGTGGAAATGTATTTATAGCTGCTGTATCCTGTGCATTTTCATTCACATCTTGTGGGGAGAGAAAAAAGGGGGCTGACTAATCAGTGTTGTATAGATGCTTCTGATCCGGCTGGGCTGCTGGATGCTTTTTATCTGAAATCAGGAGACAGAGTTTTTAATGGATGATGGACAGGACGGGGTGTTTGAATGTGATCAAATGTGAGCAGAAACCAAGACAAACGTTCTCAGCTAGTTAACTTACTGTAAGGCAACAGGTGCTTCATCTGCTGTATTTACTTCAGTGTGTGTTGTAGCAAAAGCTGACTCCTGACATTTGCAGGAATTGTTTATGATCTCTGGGTCTGGGTAGGGAGAGGAAGGTGGGAGAAACTTGTTTAAACTGTGGAGCCTTTATCAGAAACTGTCACAAAAGTGTCTTTGTGTTAAACAACAAAAGGCAGTCAAGCAAAAAAGGAAAACAAAACCGCTGTGCAATACAGGGCCTCAAGACAAAGTGTTCAGTTACTGAAGGATAAATGTACTGATTTCCTTTTGAAAAGAAACTACTTTGTAAATAGAGGAAGGGTACATTGATTTTGTCTGTTTGTACATAAAGGAACATTTTTATTTATTTGAATAAACGATTAAAGCCTTTTGTGTTGCAACAGCAGCACCTTTGTAACTGTGAATGGGGCTCTTTCTTAATCTGTTGCAGGTATCTGATTGCATTTAGCTGTGGGATTGAGAAAAAGACAAACAGTGATTACACAATGATAAAGATGGGCTGATAATATGCAGAGAATGTGCAGCTTATTTAGGATAATTTTAATTTCCTTCCTAGACTAAAATGCCCAGAAGATTTAAAACCTAAGAATTGGAACCAAAACCCTTACAGGTAGGGCCCTACCAAATTCACAGCTATGAAAAACACGTCACGGACTGTGAAATCTGGTCTTTTGTGTGCTTTTATCCTATATTATACAGATTTCACAGGAGAGACCAGCGTTTCTCAAATTGGGGGTCCTGACCCAAAAGGGAGTTGCGGGGGGTGGGGGTCTCAAGATTATTTTAGAGGGGGTCACAGTTTTGCCACCCTTATTTCTGTGCTGCCTTCAGAGCTGGGCAACCGGAGAGTGGTGACTGCTGGCTGGGAGCCCAGCTCTGAATGCAGAGCTGCCACCAGCAGCAGCACAGAAGTAAGGGTGGCGTGGTATGGTATTGCCACCCTTACTTCTGTGCTGCTGCGGGCAGGGGCGCTGCCTTCAGAGCTGGGCGCCTGGTCAGCAGCCACCACTCTGCAGCTGCCCAGCTCTGAAGGCAAAACTGCCGCCCGCAGCAGCACAGAAGTAAAGGGTAGCAGTACAGCAGTCTCCCCTACAATAACCTGGTCATTCATCCGATGAAGTGCGTTTTAGCCCACGAAAGCTTATGCTCAAATAAATTTGTTAGTCTCTAAGGTGTCACAAGTACTCCTGTTCTTTTTGTGGATACAGACTAATGCAGCTGCTACTCTGAAACCTACAATAACCTTGTGACACTCCCACCCCCAACTACTTTTTGGGTCAGGACCCCTACAATTACACCATGATGTTTCAGATTTAAATAGCTGAAATCATGAAATTTACTATTTTTTAAAATCCTATGATTGTGACCAAAATGGACCATTAATTTGGTAGGGCTCTACTTATAGGAAGATTAATTAAATCTAATGATTGTGTTCAAATAAGCCTAATAGCGGGGATTCAATGAGATGGATAGCTGGCCATGGCTTAGGGAGTGTGCAGAACAGAGCAGGTTAAGATGAGACCTTCAACTGGTTTGCACTCAACATACAGAGCTGTAGCTCTACATATGTGTGTGATATATATGGAGCATTTACCTGGGTGTACAGTTTGGAAAAAAATGGCATTGTGCATGAACAGTGTATGAATGTTCTGACACTTATAATCACATTATGTCTAAATTAAACTCTTTCTGACATGTTTAAGGGCACTTGTCTTGATTGAAAAATATGACATTTTAAAGTTGCTACATGCTAAACATATTTTAGTGGAGGTGGAAACCCTTTCTCTCTGCTCCATGCTATTCAAAAAACTTAAAAATGCACAGCAAATAGTATTTAACCAAAATTTCCCCCCATCATTGAGACTAAGAACAAATGTAAAAAACGTCAGTTGAAAGGGCAGTGCCGGCAATAGGCATAAGCAGACTAAGCAATTGTTTAGAGACCTGAGCAGCTCAAAGAGCTCCCCATTTGCTTTTTTAGTAAGTGTTGGGGGGCACCCCAAAATATTCCTGTTTAGGTTCCCCAATGGGCTAGCAATGCCTCTGAAAGGGTAAGTCTTAAAATAAAGTTAAGGGTGTGAAAACCGGCTGATAACTCAAGAGTCTCCTCAGGTACTTGTTGCCACAACAATACTGTAATTCACTAACTTAGAAAATTCATAAGTAAATACTTAAGATGCTGTGGCAAACCTTTTATAAGAAATAAATTTGTTTAAACGTGTATGAACATGTTAACTTGAATTTATCAAGTATGCTGTAAAGTACTACTACGTGTTAGAAATTAAAAACTATAAATGTGGCTTTGATGTCAAATGTTTCATGGTACTTTAGGAAGGATTCACTTTTTATGCATATTGGTTTTAGCTTTTTATGCAGTGGATTACTCTGCCATTAATGCAGCAGAGCAGAAAAAAATTGTCTGTGTTGGCAATGCCGTGAACTTCCAGGAGATTTTGTTTTTACAGATAAATTGCTCAAAGTGGTCGTGTATTTTAGCTTCATTTTAAATGACATTTCATGATTGAAATAGCTCTTTGATTTTGTTCCAGAAAGTTGGGCCTTTTCATGCTTTCCTAATATAAGCCACAAAACCTACACATCTGGATGTCTACTAATTAGATACCAGAGTGCTGGTGGCCACTGTAAAAAATAATTCCCTAATCTGTCACAAATGTGAAATAGTGGTGCTCAGAAGCCCAGAGAAAAATGTGATGCATGAGAAAATAAGTCAAATAATTGAGTGTTATTAAAAATCAATTTAGAGGCTGCTTTGTAATACTGTGTATGAAATGTAACTGTCACTTAAAATTTCCTTGCAATCTTTTAAAACAATGCATTGCACATAGCCTCTGCCGTAGCTGTTTGATTTAATTTTCAGTACAGCACGAATATTAGCACCTTGAATCCATTCAGCTCTAGCAAATAGAAATTCACTACACAAATCTGATTTTTACTGGATCAGTCTTGGACATCCTTTTATGGCTACAGTGAAACCAGAGGCATCAGTAGTTGAAGCTGTAGTTGGACTTTCTTCTTTGTTCTTTTTGGCATCATTAATTGTAAGGTACCACGTTAGTCTGTTTGGGAAGGTGCTATTTATGGTTAAAGACAAATGCAATGTACTTTTATATACAAATATATTTAATCAGTACATCTAGTTGCAAAGAACAGTCAATCACTTTTAAAGTATCAAGTATAAAAAAAAAATTATACATTTGGAACTTGCTAAATTCAGTGTGAGGTGAGAATTCAGCTCATATGAATGCCTGACAGCAGCATAAACTGTTGGTAGATGATTTCATTCCATATGAAATCAAGTGAAATGAATTTAAAGGGAATATTACATCATGAGAAAATATGGAACACCTCAAGGCTAGTACTTGCTGTTGGTGGTGGGGGGGGAAGCAAAATTCCAAAAAAGACTCAAAGCATCAAGGAATTGATTATCTCTAATTGATAATCTGATTGAAAATATCCAGTTTGAAGATAATGAGGTAGCATTTTTCTGAAGAATTAATTTTGTGCAAAGGTGCCCAGCTTTTCCTGCATTTTGGGCTGGTGCACCACTGTGCCTTTGAATTAGAAATGGGCCTGAACCACTGGCTTAAGATTTGGGTACAGATATTAAGGGTTACCAATTTCTCAGATGTTTGAACCCAGGAATTTGGTTTGTGTGCCTCTCCATTTTAAGTGCACAGGAAGCAGAAACCAACTTCACTTGAAATGAATATTAACTGTTATTGACTGGAAGGATAACAAACATTGATGTTCATCTAAATGTGTCCATAAACCTCTCCCTTATAGCCAGTGGTTTCAGAAATGTAACATGTTTTCCTTTGTACAGTAGTATTCTAAAGGTGAGATGGAGACAAAGGTTCAGCAACAGTTATTCACCTCTGAGTCAATTAGGAAGTACAAATATTCATATGCTACAATCACCTTATTGGCTCTTCAAAGAAGTACAGTAGCTTTCAGTGAAATCTGCTGAAGCCAGTGCTAATACATATGTTTGCGTATGCCATCTGATTGGCTAATATAGCTTCAGAACTCAGTACTCATTTGTGAGATAAACTATAGAAAATGACATCACAAAAATGTTTTAATTCATTCAACTTTTCCGTTGAACATACCAATAGCATTTCTAGTGGTCTGGATGCTGAGACTCCCTGTCTTGCTTTGGGTCCGTTACTTTATGTGTTTTCCATCTGTGAAAAGGAGAACTACTCTCTCAGGGATGTTGTGAGTATTCATTAATGTTTGTAAAGTGCCTTGAAGAAGAAAAATGCTAGGTATTTTATTTCCTGTTAATACAGTGTGATACTATTTCCTTGTGCATCCCTGATCCACCACCGGACCTGCTAAAAGTTAACAAGCTCTTTAAACTTGTTTAAATTGTTGGTGTAGGTAGGATGTGCCTGAAAATGACACCGCACTCCATCTACATCTTTTGCAAACTACTTTCCTATGCATAGATTTCTCTTTCACAACAAAATCCATCAATTTGTGGTTAGTGAATATTTTTCTGTTTTTTGTGAGTTGGCTTGATTTTGTTTGAAACGGTGCCATGTGTGATTGAGAAAGATGGACTCCTTTTTAAGACATTGGAGATGATTTTATCCTTCAAGAAGTGTGCATATCATGAACCTCTAGATATTTTTTCACAGATAAAATATGTCCTTTCTAGGGTTGTCAAGCGATTAAAAAAATTAATTGCGCGATTAATCGCACTGTTAATAGAATACCATTTATTTTAAATATTTTTGGATGTTTACTACATTTTCAAATATATTAATTTCAGTTACTACACAGAATGCAAAGTGTACAGTGCTTACTTTATATTTTTTTATTACAAATATTTGCACTGTAAAAACACAAAAATATAATTTTCAATTCATCTCATACAAGTACTGTAGTGCAATCTCTTTATCATGAAAGTTGAACTTACAGATGAAGAACATAAAAAACAATGTTAATTAGGCTACAATTTCGCACTTGGCAGCAATCAGTGACAACAAGGTTGGTTACAATTTGCAGGAGATAAAAATAGGCGCTTCTTGGTTACAGTGTCACCTGAAAGTGAGAACAGGTGTTCGCATTGCACTTCTGTAGCCGGCGTTGCAAGGTATTTACATGCCAGATATGCGAAAGATTCAAATGTCCCTTCATGCTTCAACCACCATTCCAGAGGACATTCTTCCATGCTGATGATGGGTTCTGTTCAATAACAATCCAAAGCAGTGCAGACTGACACATGTTCATTTTCATCATCTGAGTCAGATGCCACCAGCAGAAGGTTGATTTTTCTTTTTTGGTGGTTTGTGTTCTGTAGCTTCTGCATCAGAGTGTTGCTCTTTTAAGACTTCTAAAAGCATGCTCCACACCTCATCCTTCTCAGATTTTGGACGGCACTTCAGAGTCTTAAACCTTGGGTTGAATGCTGTAGCTATTTTTAGAAATCTCACATCAGTACATTCTTTGCGTTTTGTCAAATCTGCTGTGGAAGTGTTCTTAAAATGAACATGTGCTGGGTCATCATCCGAGACTGCTATAACATGAAATATACGTAGAATGTGGGTAGAACAGAGCAGGAGACATACAGTCTTCCACCCTCCCCCACCCCAAGGAGTACAGTCACAAATTTAATTGACACTTTTTTTTTTTTTTTTTTTTAAACAAGCATCATTGGCATGGAAGGATGTCCTCTGGAATGGTGGCTGAAGCATGAAGGGGCATACAAATGTTTAGCATATCTGGCATACCTTGCAACGCCAGCTACAAAAGTGCCATGCGAACGCCTGTTCTCACTTTCAGGTGATGTAAATAAGAAGCAGGCAGTAGTATCTCTTATCAACGTAAACAAACTTGTTTGTCTTAGCGACTGGCAGAATAAGAAGTAGGACTGAGTGGACTTGTAAGCTCTAAAGTTTTACACTGTTTCGTTTTTGAGTGCAGTTATGTAAAAAAAAATCTGCATTTGTAAGTTGCACTTTCACAATAAAGAGATTGTACTTTAGTACTTGAAGGAGGTGAATTGAAAAATACTATTTCTTTTGTTTATCATTATTTACAGTACATATATTTGTAATCAAAAATAATAATATAAAGTGAGGACTGTGCACTTTGAATTCTGTGTTATAATTGAAATCAATATTGAAAATATTGAAAAACATCCAAAAATATTTAATAAATTGCAATTGGTATTGTTATAAGTGCAATTAATCGCGATTAATTTTTTTAATCATGATTAATTTTTTGAGTTAATTGCGTGAGTTAACTGTGATTAATTGACAGCCCTAGTCCTTTCCTTTTAATTTAGTGAATCCCAGCTCATTAACCAATAATCTAGATTGCAGTAAAACAATAAAACTTTACATATTTATTTAGTTTATGTCAAGGATAACATGTTTTATGCTCATTTACAGGCTGCAATAGGGTTCATAAAGTAACAGTTGCACTGACAAATTTACCAAATCGTAAAATCAGTTGTAACAAGTATGTAAAAGTTTATAAAATAATACAGTAATCTATAATAACCAATGTTAATGGAGAATAGGTCAAGCTGTTTTTTATAATGAATGTTACAAACAAGTGAAAAAACCAGAGACACTACATTTGTCCAAACAAATAAAAAGTCCATGTTAATATAATTCCAGAACTATATATAATACTAAAAACAGAATATATAAAACAAAAAATTAATAAATTAGTGTGTTAAATGTTAAGCCTAATTAGTAAACAAAATAATGAGGGGATGGAGAATTCCATCCATCACTCCCATTGTGGCTAATTAAAGAAGACTTAGAGGAAAAAATAGGGAAAAACAGATGAAAGCTGCTGAAGTGAGCTTCAACATCATGGCTGTTCACCTGGCCATTTCCTGGGACCCCAGACCTTTGTCACCCTGACCTGAGACATGTCCTTACCAGACCAGCCAAAGAGAGGGAACCAGCTAACACCATGCTTTACTTGCTCCAGCTAAATCCCGACCACCACCTGGGATAAAATAAAACCAGACTTTAACAGCAGCAACAGCTTCAGCTCATCTAACTAGCTTCTCTTTTCTGCAAAAGGACTGGTATTACCATCGTGAATACCATCAAAGACAGTGGTTCTCAACCAGGGGTTTGTGGCTCCAAGCTGGTTTCAGTACAGAAAACTGGGAGTGGAGCACTGGGGCCCCCACCAGGCTCTGGGAGCAGAACCACAGAGAGCCCTGAGCTCCGGTGCTCCCCCCAAAGCTAAAGCCTCAAGCCCCAGTGCCCCACACCGGAGCTTAAGCCCTGAGCTCTTCCCCCGCCC